GGCCATGTGGCATCAGGCTCAGAACATAAAACTGGGGTAAGAAGGAGGAAGGCAGGGAGTTAGAGTGATGATGTTTGTCTCCCAGACCACCATTACAGGTGATAGAGCCCTGTTTTCCTGGACATGGCAGAACACCTGCTTGCCCACGAGAAGCTGTGAATGAATTCCTTGTTTTTCTTTCCTGGTGTGTGCAGCTTTTGCTTTACTTGTTCAGCTGTGTCTCAGTTCACAAGTTCGTGCAGGACCCTCCTGCACAAAGGGCTCAGGCAACTGTTGCTGCTCATTTTGTGGGGATGAACAACCCACAACCCATTTCTGCTTTGGTGGCAACGCCACCTCCATTCCCTCTTCCTTCCCACAAAGCCACACACAAGATGTCCTACCTGCATTGTTGCGTAATCAGTCTCCTTACAGTGGTCAAGTGCAAAGGTGGCTTCTGCTCCATATTTTGACAGAGAACTGATCTGCTAGAGGCAGTCTCAGAACGCAGACACACCCCAGCAGGTGGGACATGCCTCACTTGGTACAGATGACTGAGGATAGCACCAACAGAGCTTGATGTAGACATGCCAGGCCATGGCAATCACATGGGTCACAAATCTAGGAGCTCGGCCTTTGATCCAAGGGTCAGCTGTGATGCTTTTTGTCTCTTCTCACTCAAACCAGCAGCGACCACAAAGTTTTGACATTCGAGGATCCATTCCTGGCCTCCTGAAAATGCAGGACTGAGCCTTGTGCCCTAGGATGCAAGTGAAGACAGCTTTAGAGGAACACTTTGTGGGAACCACAGCTTTCCTGGTGTCACTGCCTGATTTGACTGGGCTATGCCACTCTGCTGCTGTCAGCCCCTCTGGGGAAGCTGATGCAGAAGCAGCAGTATCTTGCTCAAGTCAGGAGTCAGTCACACCAGGAAAACTGAAAAGCTGATCCTCTGAGACTGCACAGCTCTCACAAAAGAGTTTCAAGTGTAGGGGGCTGAAAAACCCCCCAGTGCCAGCTCCCCACCTCTCAGCAGAAAGGGAGAAGGGAAATTTCAGCCTGCTCTGCAGCTGGCAGTATTTGGTGTCCAGCCACCCCTCCCACAGGAAAAGGGAAGAGGAAAGCAATCACCATCCAATCAACAAAAACAGACTTAATAAAGCCATTCTAAATGCATACATAAACGAATAAAATCAGCCCTTAATGCCAATGAAGACTGAAAGCCATTCAGGCAAAGAGTAGGCTCATACACGTCAATGAAAGGCTCATATTCAAGATGAAAACAACACTGAAAAGTTGGATGAAAGCTCAGCCACACTGCACAGCTCCTGTTCTACTGCTCTGCTCAAGAATGATTGGCAGTTACCGTAAGTAAAATACCTCTGATCCCAAAAGGAAGCACAAAATCCTTCCAAGAAAAGCCAGGAAACTTTTGAGCCTCGATCTTTACCCTTCAAATGCAAAACCATCTTTAACACACTTTGCAGAACTTAGCCTCCTCAACTTGGCATTTGCACTGCTCCCAGCCACAAAAAAATTAAACTGAAATGTGAAACTCCCTGTTGCAAATCTACCAACTTCTTGCCTGTCTGAGGGCACAAGGCACTTACCAGAAGCCCAGAAACAGAGCACCAGCACCACAACCAGTGTGGGGGTCACCAAACAACAGAGCTGGAGGACAATATCCACCGCCTTGATTTCCCCACGTGCTAACTCACCAGTGGACCTAACGAACAAAAGACGGAGCAAAATGAAAGTAAAACCACCCGGGGATTTCCCAACTGAAATGTATCTGCAGTAAAACCAGAGAAATGAGCAAAAATATCCAGTCGGAGCAGAGGAAGGGTAACATCCAAGCCTAAAATTTATAGCTAGGTGATAATTTAGGTAAAGCATTTGAGGAGGAGTCCAAGGAAATAGTACCCGGGGCAAGCAACAATAGTCGCTGGAGTTAGCAGTTAGTGGAGTAAAATCTGACTTGGTTTTGGTTAAGGCACTTGCAATAGGAATATTTCTATTCGTATGCATAAATCCAACTATTCCGGTACACGGGGGAATATTTAATTACCTCTTCCATTATATGTAAGAGGAAAAAACAAGTTGCTTTTCCTTTGGAGTAAGGACAAGGTTTAAGTGATAATGTAGCAGATGTGAATGATTAAATTAAAGATCCCAAGTCTAGATAGAGCTGTGTGTGCAGAGATCTCAAGATGTAATCGGATGGGCTGCAACAAACAATCAAATATTATTAATATTTCTCTGAAGGCTGGGGAAGCTGCATTGGAAAACCAGACGGAGCATGTGGCCGAGTCACAGGGAAGGCAAGATGGCACACTGTGCTGTGCCATAATTCACTTATCAGAGAAAATAAATACCCAGATCCAGCAGCCCCGTGTCTCCGGACAGAAACACGGACTCTGGCTGTCCTGAGCATGGTGCAGCGATGGGGGCAGCTCTGGAGAACCAGGGCTGGATGGAGGTGGTGACGGTGACACCCGCCATGCTCTGCCACCGCCTCTGCCCACCTTGTGCCTGGGAGCACAAGCCACCCGTTCGGCTGAAGGTCGCACTCCAAGACCTGGAAAGTGTTTTCCAGCCTTCACGATCCCATTCTCCATCCCGGCTTTTCGCATAAGACATGCACAGCTCAGTGCTGGGGAGCCAGGTCGCACTCCAAGACCTGGGAGGTGTTTTCCAGCCTTCACGACCCCATTCTCCATCCCGGCTTTTCGCATAAGACATGCACAGCTCAGTGCTGGGGAGCAAAGAGCCCCAGACCTGCAGCCCCAAACCCTCCTGGGGCTCCCAGCGCGACGCCTCGCCCGTCCCTCCCCGGGATGCCCGGCGCGATGTCCCCACTCCCCGGAGCGCTCACCTGGCCCCGCTGCGTCCCCGCGGCCAGCCCGGGACAGCGGCAGCTCTGCCGGGACAGCGGCTCCCGGGACAGCGGCGGCTCTCCCGGGACAGCGGCTCTGCCGAAAGCGAAAGCGGCGCTGGCGGAGCGGCTCTGCCGGGAAAGCACGTGGGGCTGCGGGGCCGGGATGGATGGGGAGGGGCACGGCGGCCCCCGGATGGCGGAGAGGCAGCTCGGCATCCCCAGGGGAGGCAGCGAGGATTCACTGCTCCCGCCTGGAGTCTTTAGTTTGGAGAAGACCTCTGACATCAGCGAGTTCAGTAACTGAGCGCTGCTGTGCTCATCACTAGCCCGGGTACCCAGGTGCCGCACCCGCTCGCCTTTTGAGCAGCGCCAGGGATGGGGATTTCACCTCTACCCTCCTTCTGGTGAAGGCATTTCCCCTAATATCCAACCTAAATCTCTCCTATTGTGTTGTAACTTTGCTCTTGTTCTGTCACTTGCTGCGTGGGATAAAAGACAGACACAGCCCCCAGCTGTCTCCACTCTCCTTTCAGGGATTGTAGCGTCCCAAGATCCTTCCTGAGCCTCTTTTTCTCCAGGTTGTATCCTCCCAGTTCCATCAGCTGCTCCTCATCAAACTTCTGCTCCAGGTCCTCCCCCAGCTCCCCTGCCCTCCTTTGTTCCCATGGAAGGGCAGCCTGGTGCAGTCCCACTGAGCAGCCCCCTGTGGGGCAGGCACCCCCATGGCAGAAAAAGGTGCTTTTCTCCTGCCATTTCCTTTTTATTAATGCTCACCACTGCTGTGGGATGTCATTTAAGGGCTGTGGCTTGATGGAAGCCAGGTCCCCACGGTCCTCCACAGACACTGCCATGCAGGGAGTGAAAATGTCCCCTGAGCACTGGTGGCTTTAGAGCAGGAAGGAAAATGGACAGTCCAGTACCTTGGTACTGAAATAGCTGGCAGGGGCAGTGATGAAGGGTGAGAAGGGAGGTAGAAAACTGCCCGCCACCGCAGGGCTTCCTCCAGGGCACAGCCAGTCACAGCACAGCATGACACCCTTGGTGCCCCGCGGCTCCTGCTGGCTCAGGGACACAGCTGGGTCACACTTCCCTGGCTGCCGCTGAGGCCCCCAGCCTCCTCCCCACCGCCTGGGCACCACCCAAGGGATGAGAGCCCAGCAGGCACCCAGAACAAGGAAGGGCCTCTGGTGGTGAGGGTGAGAGAGAAGCAGGTCAGAGGGACCTGGCTTTATCCATGGTAATGCAGAGGGAGCAACCACCATGCCCAAGGAGCTCAGGACATGGAGCCCCTCCTGCTACCAGCCTCTTTCTGGACAAAGTTTAATGCTTTTATACTGCTCTGTGGGGGAAAAAAACATAATCTCTACCTTTGTTAATGTGATCACCTTTACAGGTGTTGGATTTATCACCCAAGATCTCCTCCAAGTGAGAAGACTTTAAAAAAAAAAGCATGAACTGGTACAGGAAAATAACTGAGCCACTTGAGATAAATTATTGCACAGTAATAGGAAGGAAAAGGAACTTAATGCTAAACTAGACACTTAAACTTTCTGTTATAATCTCTTTCATTTCCTTATAATTTTGAATGCTTTTTTTCTTCTTTGCTGTCACTGTCTCAACAACATGGCCATTATCAGTTTGGAGCTCTCCACTGAACCATCAGGGTCTGTAAAGAAATTACCCTGGGCACAAGATCTCTGTTATTGTACTGCACTGCAAATTCTCATTCCATTCACTTTTTTCAGTCACATCCAGGTCTTTTAGCATTACTGGTTCTAAGCTTACTTGGAGTTTGGTAATATCATTTGACTTGCTGGATTCTGTCAAAATCAGTAGGCTCTTGGTGGAAGTAAAACCCAGGAGGAGAATGAAAGGTGCTGTATTTCCAAAATGTAAAACAACAGAGATGTCAAAAGGGGGCAAAACCCATTTCTGCTGCTTCCTGAGAGTGTTAACCCAAAGTCTGTGCACTTCAAGAGCCCAGCCCTGACTCCTAAGAGCACAAGCCTTTAAAGATCCTGCAGAAATAGTGTGGATTGAGGTGCAGACTTCAACATCTTTGCAGAAGAAAGGCTCCATGGAAGCACAGTTGCACAGAGCCCAGAGCCTTTCTCAGGAAAAGGAAATAAAATTCAAGCAAAACTGATTTAAAGCAACTCATCTTTTATTTGGTCCAGACACAATTTTTCTGGTTGTACACAAGCTCCTGTGCTCCTCTGTGAAGGGATGAGCTCTACAAACTTTTCTCAAGAAAATTAAGGAGCAAATGACTCGGGAAGCCAAAGTCAAGCTGTACAATTACATATCCCTAAAAAGTGGGGAGAGAACAGAAAATATTATTTTAGTTCTTGCCACAGTCCCAAAAGGGCTTCGAGAGCTGGGTGGTTCTGAGCTCTTCTTACCTTTCTGGTAATGATCTCAGGATTTATGATATCAAAGAGATCAAGCCTTTTGCTGTTCATCAGTGAGGTCAGAGCTGATCCAATACCTGTGGAATCAGCAAACCCATCCAGTTACAGGGATGTCCATCCTGCCTTGCTGCCTGTTGCCAAAAGCTAATTGTGCCTCAAGCCTGACAGAAAACTCACTTTTCCTTTCTCCCAGCCATTTGCAGAGGGTTCCTGATTCCCCAAGTGTATCCAGCAGAAATTTCAAATACAGATTTCAACAGAATTTCAACCACAAATATGGTTCCCCCCACTTCTCAGTTATCAGTGTTATTGATGTATTTTTTTCAGTGTTCAGGTTCAGGAGATCTGGTGTTAGACAATTTATGGAGCAGGTTGGCACTTCCCCAAATGAAAACTCACTTGAAGTTACTTCTGGAATGCCAGCAACCAAGATCATATTCTGCAGGAAGCTTTGTATGGATGGGTCCTCCTGAAAACCAGAAAATTCATACAAAATGCTTTAAAAGACATTGTTTAGCCTCAAATGGCTTAGAGAATTCTTTTTTTAGGACTTACCTCACTTGGATCAGCTGTGCATTTAAACACTTTAATCTCTACACTGAAGGGAAGGGGAAAAAGAGGGAAGAAAAGTCACTAAGAGCTGCAGAGATCCTCTTTTTTGCTGCTTTTAAACATGGGCCAAAAGAGGCAACTCTCACGAGAGCACAGTACCAACCTGGAGTCCACAGGCTGCAGAAGGAGTTTCTTTTCTGCATAGGTAGCTTGGATGGTGGTTGTGATTTCCTGCAGAGAGAAGAACAGCAGGGTTCAGAGCCTTATTGCAAGGAGCTGCACTTGGATATTTTGGGTTGTTTTCTAGGAGCCAGAGTTCAACATCCTTTTGGCTTTACCTCCAGGTATTGCTAGAGAATGCCAGCACTTTCCTTCTCCCCTTGCATGCAATAAACTCCCCCATCATGCCCACAGCCTCAGCCTCTGGACTTTTGCTATTTTGTAAATCCTGCACAAGGAGGGAAATGGCTTTGTAGGGTGTTCTTTCCCAGTGCCATCCATCTCAACATCTGCCTGGATGTAGAGAGAACAGCCTCAGGGCAGCCAGGGCTGCCACAGGCAGCCAATCCAATGTAAACCAAATTTAAAAAAGAAAGCAATCTCTGTATTCTGGCCACTTAGGCTCATTGTCCTGCTGTTGTCTGCATGCAAACATTCATTTGAGAGGAACATTTTGTGATGCAGTTGCAGATCACAACCAGACTTTCAGCAGTCCAGGAGCAGAGCTCATCCCAGGAGCCATAATTTTAGGGATCACCTCTAGTCCAGTGCTTCTGCAATCCTTGCAAGGCATTTCAAGATACCATTTGGGGCATGAGAAACAGCCATGCATATTTCCTCTAACACCCTGCTCACATGGGATACTTGCTGAGGGAATTATTCTCAGCTGTGATTTAACCTTTAAAATTGAGGGTGCCCAACCCTCAGGCAAGGATTTGGGTTGGTTTTGTGTGTCTCAGCCCACAGCTACAAGGCATGACAAACACACTGCTTTCCTGTGATGTTGACCATGACAGGGAAGCTGCTGGCATTTCTTTTTTCTGCTTCCTTAGATTCACTATAAAGCAGTTTGAGGATTACAGTGTAATCAGGACCCTTCTTACAGGCCCACATAGAAAAAAGGTTATATTTTGAGCTTCACATTCTTCAGAGCTTCATATCCATTTCTGATCCAGCTATACTCCTAGTGGGGACCTGGGCTAGAATTTGGGTACAAGGAGAGTTCAAAATAAATACATTTCCATGGTGCCTTTCTCCTAAAATATCTCAATGACTCTACCCTGTGTCAGATGAATGTTCATGGGGGCTCCTCAGAGCTTTCTGCTGCTTTGACCACACTGAAAGTGGGCTGGCCTAGCTGAGGGGCCATTGAGCCAGCATGGTCACTACCATCATTTCCAGCCTCAGAGGTCTAAGGAACACATGGGAGTGTTAAAAGAAACTGATTTGCCTTCTCCACCTCCCGTGGGTTAGCCACCCACCCTTCCCAAAGGGCTCCCTGCCATTGCTGTCCTGCACACCAGGGATGCTCCTGGCTTGGGACAGAGCCTGTCCCAAGGTGTTCACAGTCAGGAGGTGCCAGAACTGACCTTCTCCATGTACAGGGCCACCAGGGGCTCTTCTCCTGCCAGGAGGATGCTGACCTCCACTGCTACCAAGGACCTCACCACTGTCCCTTCAGGCTGGAAGGAGATCTGGGGCTGGGTGAGACTCCACACCTTGGCCACAGAGTCATTGTAGGAGGTGCCCTGAAAAATCTGGTCGAGTAAGGAGCACAAGATGAGTCAGGCTTTTTCCATACCAATCTCATGCCAACTCATCACACAGCTGCATTCCTTTTGCAGTCCCCAGTTCCTCCTCCTGTTCACCCAAGCCAAGTAACTCAGCCAGGTGTTAGCTAATAACTGTGTTAACTAATAACAAATAACTGTGCCAACATGGAAGATGGAGAAATCCTCCTTGCAAAGCACAATTGTTTCTCCATCAGCCCCTCTTTTCCTCCCTCTGGCCCACCCAAGATTCACATTGCCAAGGGAAGGACTCAAGCTGTTACAATGGAACAGAATCCATTTGAAATTTCCTCATTTGACATGCAATGCTCTGAATAGGACAAAAAGTTACCCTCTGCACTGCCTTCCTCTGCGCTTCTGTGTCCTCCATCTCAAACAGCTCCTTCAAAACAAACCAGAAAGAGATTGTCAAAAAACAAAAGGTTATGGTTGCTCCTGGTGCAGGCTGGACAGGCCACAGCACTGAGGTGGGGCCTGTGCATGGTGAGCTCCCCCAGCTCCCACCCTTTTTTCCAAACCCCAGAAAATCACATCCCTCCACAATTCAGCAGACAAGTTTCCTATCAGCTGCTGTTACCCCTCCAAGGAATAACTCTGCCCTCTTGATAAGAAGACACCAACTCCAGGAGCACACGAAGAGACTGACTGCAGGTTTCCATCTTCTCCAGAAACCAGCTCTCACCAAAACACGGTACTTGGTGAATTTCTCACTTTCTCCCCAAAATATGATGTACGGGGTAAGGAGGGCCCCCTCTGGGACTGACCTGCAGTTTCTCCCCTCCGAGGGTGAGCAGCAGCTGCCCATCCAGGAAGGCTGCAGCAGCCAGGGAGCCCAGGCTGTGCTCGGACAGCCAGAAGTAGAGCATTCGGGACTCGGTCAGCAGCGAGGGCGAGAAAACCGAGTCACTGAGCGTGCTGGAGCTGTTCTTGTACAGGACAACGCCCTGGAAAGGAAAACAAGCGTGCTGGCCACGGCAAGCAGCAGGGAGGCAGGAGAAGAAGCCAACGGCTGCATTTCCATGGCAAGGCAAAGGCCTGGCTGGGCACGGCCGGCAGCAGGTTGGCATCAGCCCCGCTGCAGTGCCACAGCCCCACAGAAGCTGCCCCTCCAAGCCCCCCAGAGCACACCCCGGCCAGAAAACCTGCTCAGGTGTCTGAGCAGCCTGGCCTACTCTACCTTGTGGTGGGACTCGATGTATGTTGCTTTTATGACAGGATCTGACGCGAGGGAGATGTCAACAGCGATGTCCTTGTCCCGGACAAAATTGGCTGCAGGGGGAAAACACAAAAAGCTCCCACCAGAAACAGGGCCCTGAGCACAGCTTGTGACAGGCGCTTTTAGGGTGCAGGTGGTGACAGGGATGTTATGAAAGAGCACAGGGATGGCACAAGGGTTCCCACTCCTTTGGATGCACTGATCCTGCTGCAGCCCCCGACTCTTTTTCTCCCCTGGGAAATTGGGATAATTATGCTCAGTTTTTCATTCCACTCCTTTTCCCTGATATTTGGGAGTGGGGAAATCTCCAGATGGTGTACAGCCTCATACGTAATACTGCAGTACATGCTCCTGTTCTAGTTAACATTGGTCCTGCAGCATCCTGCACAGCGGATCAGTACACACCGAACAGAAATTCCTTATTAATTGAAATGTCTTTGAATCTGTGTAATCATTCTAAAAGATCAACCTGATGCAGAAAAATCCAAGCATAACATTAGTAAGGTTTATTTTGCTGCTGTCTGAGGGCTTGGGATCCCATACATTTTTGATGGATGTGGCTACCACTCAAACATTAAAATCTGTACATAAAAAAAAAGAAAGAAGAAAACCCAAGAATATTTACCTGCTAAATCAATTATAAAATTTGTCAGCGTCTGAGCAACAGCATTTATTTCCTTGCACACCTACAGGAGGAGGAAAAGAGGGGAGGGAAATTAGGGGAAGGGGCAGGATTTTGCACTGTAGAGCAGAGCTGAGCCTCATTGAGGTCTAGGGGCTGTTGGTCAGAGTCCCTAGCAGCCTCAGGGTCAGCAACAGCTCTCACTTTGTCCAAGCTGCTTTTTTATTGCGGATTCAACTTATTTGTCTTATTTTTCATGAGCACTAACATGTCACTGCTGCTGTCTTGTGGGCAAGAAAAGAGTTTGGCATACACAGAGCTTTCCTCAGTCCCCAGGCTGATCTTACCTCCCTCTTGAGGACAAGCTTCAGCGTGAAGGAGATGAAATCTGTGAAGAGCTGCTTCAGCCAGCCAGGTCTGTGTGAGACAGGGAGCACACTGAGCTCTGCACTTTTGGGTGGGTGGCATCTGGGGGCCAGCAGGGGGACAATAAATCTCAGTGTTTCAAGGGGTCAGACTTACTGCTTGTCTCCTTGGAGGTGAAGTGTGAGTTTGTGGAAAGTCAGGTAGCAGTCTGAAGCATCAGGAGCCACTTGGTCCTTTTGGCACACTGCATGGGATGGAAGGAAAAAGAAAAAAAAAAAAACCAAAAACTGATTTGTTACTGAGAGGAGAAACTGAGAGGAGAAGGAAGAGGGCTGCAGGCCTGGAGCAGGACATCACTGCAGAGGGCCAGCCAGGGCTCCCCACATCTCCCAGGGGATGCTTCCAAAAGATTCCAGACCCTGCCAAGCTGGGGCAGGTGGGGCTACTTTGCTGGTCTACCAGGCACCCTTCTTCATGTGGATACCTGCCAGCTGCCCTAGCTCCTGCCAGCAGAGACTCAGCTGTCCCCTAACATGACCCAGCAGAACCTGGAGGGTACGTGCAACCCACAAACCAGAGTGGGGAGGGAATTTAGTCACATTGCAAAGTGTCTGGGTATTGCAGCATACTTACTCAGATTGATGTTTAGCTGGAGATCAATGGAAGACTCAATTTCAAAATCAACTGAATGAAAAAGCTGCAAGCTGTAATGGCAGAAGGGGGACATTCAGGAGCCTGAGCCAGGAGCAGCTTCTCCCTGACAGGTTTTATAACACCTCTCACACCTGGCCTTGCATTGCCATGGGCCAACCCCCAGCCCACCCCAGCCCATCGCAGATAGTGGGCTTTAAACCATTGCAAACTGCTGCCTTTGTGACACTTTGGAGCATTAACCCCCCCCTTTTTATCCACTCAGAATTTCCAGAGCAACAAAGTGGAGAGGCTGAGTCAACTGCTGTGCTTTGGCCATTTGGGCTTTAAACCATTGCAAACTACTGCCTTTGTGACACTTTGGAGCCTTAACCCCCCCTTTTTATCCACTCAGAATTTCCAGAGCAACAAAGTGGAGAGGCTGAGTCAACTGCTGTGCTTTGGCCATCTGGTCCTGTCATGCAAGGTGGGGACAGAAAGGCAGAAAGCAAGATGGGCTTAGAAACACTGCTGGGGTAGAAAATCCTGTCTCGCTGCAGGGATGCTCAGCAGCTACAAGTGTACTCAGTATGGCTGGCAGGGGTGCTCAGCTGAGCTGCAGTAGTGGTGCTCAGCAGCTGCAGTAGAGCTCAGCAGGGCTGCAGGGATGCTCAGCAGCTGCAGGGGTGCTCAGCTGAGCTGCAGGGGTGCTCAGCATGGCTGGCAGTGGTGCTCACAGCTGCAGCCCCTACTCACAACCAGGCCCCGGCGTAGCCGTAGCTCAGGGTCCCTTTGAACAGGGCTGTCACGTTTCTGATGGAGATGTGGATGGCACTGTCCTCCTTGAGCTCCACCTCGCTCCTCTCGATGGACAGGTCATTGACCTGGATGCTGGGAACAACAGAAACAAGAGTTTGTCCCCAGCCCAGAGCTGGAGTTTGTCCCCAGCCCAGAGCTGTTTATTCCTGGGCAATGGGGTCTCTGAGGGACCCGTGCCAGTGCAAATCCCACAAAATCAGATTTGCAAATCCCAGGGCCAGGCACAAGGACAGCGACAGTGATGCTTGTGCCTCAGCCTTGGTGCACTGTGCAATGTTTGGATACAAGGTTTTGGAATTATTTAAACAGGAAACATGGAACAATGCTGTCACCAGGATATTTTACGAAAAATCCTTTGCTAGGATTTTTCCCTCCTGAGGAGCTGAGGGCCTCAGGAAAGAAATGCAAACAATAACTATCTGCTGCTGTGGAATGCAACAGGTGCAGCTGTGATTGTTGTTTCTAATTAATAATTTCATGTTGGTTGTTTCTAATTAACAGCCAATCACAGATGCAGCTGCATTGGACTCTGAGACTCACAAGTCTCTGTTATGCATTCTATTCTTGTTCTTTCTAGCTTTCTGATGAATCCTTTTCTCTCTATTATTTTCGTATCGTTTTAAGGTAGTATTTTAATATTATATATATATATTATAATATAATAAACCAGCGTTCTGAAAACAAGGAGTTCAGATTCTCATCTCTCCACTCGCCCCGGGAGCACCCCACAAAGCAGTCACAACACAATGCAACCCTGTTTTGTTGCAGTGACACGGAGTTCAGATTCTCATCTCTCCACTCTCCCCACAAAGCAGTCACAACACAATGCAACCCTGTTTTGTTGCAGTGCCCTGTGCAGCTGTGGTCAGGGCAGGAAGTCTGCTCTCCTGCTCTGTGAGTACCCCACTGGATTTGTGGTCCCCAAATAAAAGCGAGTGACACAGCGACAGCCAGCCTGGTTTGTCACAAAGCACAGCCCAGTGACATCCTGCTGACAGGGGCTTGGGCACCATCTGTCATGGGTGGCCACAGGTGCCCCAGCCCACAGGGCCATTACTCCCCATCCCCACTGTCAGACATGAGCTCTACACGCTGCCTTCCCACTCAGCTGGGAAAATCAATAATCCCAAATAACACATTAGCAGCCTAAACCTTAACCTGCAAATTGTCTGCGAGGCTTAGATCCCGAACCGTGTCTGCCCCAGCCCAGACCTTTGCTTTCACAGGAACTGCTGGCTCGGAGCTGCCTCCAAGGCCAGTTTCTGGTCCCCTCTGTCAGCCACAGGCACTCACTCGCTCAGCCCGTAGGCCACCCGGCCGAGCAGCCGCATGGACCTTTCCCCGGTGATGTTTGGGAATTTGGTGTTCCTGAAGGCTGCTTGGATGACCTGGGCCGTTTCCCGGTTCACTGTCGGTGGGAGAAAAGGGCAGAGATGTCAAACTGCAATTTGTCCTGGCTGCAAAGCCACCTTGCACTCTGGATTAAAGCACTACAGAAGGCTTTTATCTGAGGCTTGTGTGCTGGATCCATGAAGCACTAGAGGTAGTTTCAGAGTAAATTTTAAAAAAAATTTAAAATCCCTAACTGTCACAGCTGATGGCAGCAAGGGACAACAGCGAGTTGTCCCAGCCACCAGTGGGAGCTGTCCCAGGGAGTCGTGGCCAGCTTTCACACACCTCAGGAGCAGATTTTGGAAAGGGCAAGGCTGTGCTCATCCTTACACCACACAAGCTGTTGACTTTACCCCAGTGCTTTGCTTTGTTTCTGCTTACTTGTATTGCAGTCAGCTCCAAGGTCTACAAAGAAAAAATTCTGAAAAAGGTTCTGAGTCAATTTTCCTGATTTTACGCAGCCCATTCCAGCCTCAGCCTCGGGCAGATGCCTTTACAGGACTTTTTCCTTCCAGAAATGCCCTCTGTTACTTCAGCCCAGTGTGAATACATCTTTCTTTACATGTACCACTGTCACATGAGACAGGACAGAGCTGTTCCCACCCTCCACAGAAGAATTAAGTTCTTCCCCCACCTGCAAAGCTCCCAAATCCTTGGAAATAAGCCCACAGCAAGCAAGAACCTGTTCCCCCCCTTCTGCACACCAACCCCAAGAGATGAGATTGCAATGAGGAGAGCAATCAAGCACACATTTGTTCAAGCTCTTTCATCATGCCAAGCCCCAGCAGGAACAGCGCTAAATCCTTGGCCTGAGAACAATGTTCAAGCTCCTTTGCCTGCTCCTGCTTTAGCCTGTGCTCCAGGCAGGTGCTTACACAAGAGACAGAGAAGCAAGAAACCCCCTCCCTTGGCTGATCTGCCCCTGATTTGTGGCAGAGCTGGGGCAAAGCCAGCCCCAGGAGCAGCACTTACACAGCAATGCCGCGGGCTTGGTCATCCTGCAGACGATCCCCGTGCCTCTGTAGGGAAAGGGCCCAAACTCGCAGGCTGCTGCTGCGTGGACAAGCCCCAGCAAGAGGCTGAAGGTGCCCAGCATCATCCTGCCAGCCCAGCACATCCTCAGCCAGAGCAGAGAGAGCTGGTGAGACCAAGTGATTCTTGACGGAGGCAGAGGCTGCTTTCATACCCCCAGCAGGACATGACCTGCTTCCTCCACTTATCAAAACTCATCACACATTTCCTAATCTTCCTATAGTTTCCTTAACACCAGTCATGTTGCACGCTGCCTTCCTCCCTCAGCAGGAGTTTGGGCTGCAGGGCTTGGTGCTCCTGCCAAGACTGCTTTAACTCAGGACAGACACGCCAGGGTGGGTGGAAAAAGCTGGAGGGGGATGGAGAGTGGGGGAGGATAAAGTCAAGGGAGCAGCCTCACATGCTGCCTCAAGCCACTTCATCATTTTTTCTTCATGCAGAAATATTCCTTATTTGGTGTTCCTGCAGTAATTGCCCAGCAAAGCCCTGTTTGAAAGGTGCCTCCATCATTCACTGCTCCTGCTTCCACTGATTTTATACATACTGGGGGGAAACTGAGGCACACTCCTGGGGTGGGGGTGTTTCCTGCTCCCACTGGGTGAACCCACACCCCAAAAAGCTCAGTGACCACAGGACTGGGATGTTTTTTGCCTCTTGTCTGGGTTTGTGAACAGTCTGATTTGCCACCATCCCACCAAGGCAGAGCTTTCCATGCACCCAGACTCTCAGCTGCTGTTTGGGGCACATCAGAGAGCCAGGTCCACACCCACTCCTCTGCACACCTGCCCTGTGTGCCACTGCCCTCCTGCACCCCTGCAGTGCTGCTGGGGCCCCTCCCAACCCCAAAGCACCCCCCAGCACAAAACACAGTGGGGTTATTTCAGACAGGAGGCTCACAACAGCTCCCCTGAACCTTTCTGCCAGAAAAGGCAGAGGGAGGAGGACAGGTGAGAACCTGGCAGTGCTGCAGGAGCAGCCTCAGTGCCCTGAGCCAGGCGAGGTGCCAGCCTCCCTCCTGCCCCTGGCAGATGCCTCATCCTCCCTGAGCAGGGTGAGCACATTTCCTGCGGGGTCCCTGCTGTCCAGCAGCCCCCACCCTGCCGTGCTGTTTTCTTCCTGAGTTGAGAAAGTGAACGGCCTCGGGTACCCCACGGAGGCACTCGCGGTCACTGACCCCGAGCATCTGCAGCTTCCTCCAGGCTTCTCCAGGAGAGCAGCGTGGTGGCCATGGACAGGCTGCCTGCTGCCAGCCCAAAGTGCTTTATCAATGAGCAGCTAATGGTTGGAAACACGGCGTACCAAGGCAGCGGGTGCTCGAGCAGCAGAGCTCCCGCATGGCATCACCTCAGCTGCCACAGCATCCCTGCTGCCCCGGCCAGGAGAGCTCTTCCCAGGGCAGCTGCACAGAGCCCGGGCATGGTACAAAAGGATTGGAATTCAAAAGGATTTAACCATCTAACAGCTTTATTTTCTGTCCTCTCAGTTGAAGGGGTGTGGGCACAGTGGCCAGTGCCTGGCACAAAGGGAATCCTGCAGCCCCAGGAGAACACAGCCGCTCCTTTGCCCAGGGCAGCAATTCACATCAGCATGGAGGAAAGGGAAAGCTGGCACGTTGACACAGGGGTATTTGTCACCAGGGTAGATAAAGGCACAAAGTCCAAGACCCCAGCCCCATTGTGCTGGTCCTGGTAGATCCAGTGCATTCCCAGCCCCCTCAGGGGGCAGCTCCCCTGCCCCAGCACGGCTGCAGAGTCTGCTGTCAGCAGGCAAGCAGAGCCCAGAGAAAAGGTGAACAGGGAACTGCTGGGCATTGACCTCCAGCAGGAACAGGAAGGCTGGAGACTTTCTGCCTACAATAGCAAAAGCATGTGGAACACAGAGATGCTGTGAGCATCCTTGTCCTGGAGTAACCAGGCAGAGGCCGGGGCAGCAGGGACACCACAGCCCACCCTCCTCCCAGTGCAAGGTCAGGCTAGGACAAGACAGGTCACATTTAAAAGCCTAAGGAAAGGTTAATTTTGGCTAGCAGGAGGCAGGGCAGGCTTTATACGCCAAAGAAAAGTTAAACATCCAAGCTGGAGAGGGGATACTGGAAGATGTTTTGATAAATTCTTGCTGTGTAAGGCTTTATCTGAAGGCCGTGCACGCACACATGTACTCACCACCTTGCTGTGTACTGTCCTGCAACTGGGGTTGTTTTTCCCCACGTTGTCCAGGGCAGAGGTACATCACAGTGCCATTAATCTTTGTGCTGCATTGACCAAAACATTTGGAGTTACCCTGCAGATGCTTCCTGAGAGCCTTCCAGGTATGCTGGCTGCACCCATCAGCAGGATGGGCCCAGCAGCACTGCCAGGACTCAGAGCAGCTCAGCCCTGGGATGGCAGTGGGGCCAGCCCAGAGACCCCTGCTCCCATCTGCCTGATGTTTATAAAATTGAGACAAATAACATTCAAACAAGATTCATTTTTATTTATTTATTAGATTTATTTATATTTTTTTATTATACAAACTAGTTAAATCAATTAAAGCCATGCAATGTTTGAATACAGATTTGTGATGCCAAATAGAATTGGTATTACCCAAGTTACTCTCAAAATTTTAGAAAGCAGGAGTAACCTGGAATCCACCATCCCATGATAAAGTGAGGGCTCTCAATCTCAAGGAGTGTCCATGGGTGATGTCCTGACCCCCTGAGAGGGTTCCCCCACTGCAAATCCAAATTCTCCTGATGCCAAATCAATTCCTTCTCTTCTGTACCAGTATCACCCATAACAACCTCTAAAAAGAAAACAAGCTGGCACACACAGGTGGCCCTAGATCAGCCCAGGCTTTTCACAGCTGAGGGTGCCCAGGGCAGCTGGAAGTGCAGCCAGCTGCATTTCTGCGGCACTGGCAAATCCAGGCTGAAAGAGCAGCAAATACAACTTTCAGTGCTACTCTAAGAAACTGGGGAGGTTCTTTTGCAGCACAGGCCACTGAGCAGACACAAGACATGGGCCCAGCAGCAACACTTCCCAGGATTTGTCCAACCCTCCAGCAGGCAGCTGAACGTGAACTCAGTGCAGGTTTGAGAGGGGCTGTCACACCAGAGCTGGTTCACCCCCCTGGTATCACTCCACTCGAAATTCACACCACACTGAGCACTAGCAGGCATTTCAAGAGCTATTCCTGTGCAGCAGAAGGGCTGGAGGGAGGTGATGAAGATGCAGTTGGCACGTTTGGTGACAGTGGGGGAGTGCTGGGGTGGCCTCTGAGGAGTCTCGGTTTGTGGGCACTGCTTTGCAAATGCCACCAGAACCACAGCTAGAAATGGATCACGGGACAGCGAGCAGAGGGAGGCTGTGACACTCAGCTGGGCACTTGCACAGCTGTTGGCATGGCCCTGGCTGCTGAGAACAGGGACAGCAGGCAAGTCAGTGCATAAATGAAACAAAGAGAGAAAAGAGGAAACCACACACAAACACAGCACCAGCTTATCTGCTCAGCAGCAACCTCATTCTCATGAGCTTTATGTTCCCAGAGCTGAGACAGGACCACATCTGTAGTGACAAACAGGACTTGAGTGGCTCCCCAAGCAAGCAGCCTGTTAGGAGTTTGCACAACAAGAAAAAAAGGGGCTGAGGAAAAAAAACAGTTGTACATTTTCCTCCAACTTGTTTCTCGGTGGAGACAGAGAAGTGCTCTCAGCTAGAGCTGCCAGAGTGTATCAGGGGACAGAGCAGCAGAGGAACTGCCTTTATCCTGCTCTCACTTTGCCACCCCGTGGGCCTTAGAGGACTTTCACTGCACAGCCTGCCTGCCCTCGGGAGCCCTACACAATGCACACTGAACAGGGTGCTGCAGCGCATGCAGAGGAGCTAAACCAGCAGCAGAACCAGAGCCTGAAGTGTGAGCCAAGGCAAACCCAGCCTCCTAAACCCACAAGCCTCAAGGCCCCTTCTGCTCTCTGAGCTTCTGTCCCAGCAGAGGGGACAGCCTGGCCCTGGGAGACTCAAGGCTTGTGTTTGCCTTCTGTCTAACCCGGATTCCCTCATTTTCAGGGCCATGCCCACGGGCAGCCAGGCTCTGTCCCCGTCCTTGCCATCCCTCCTCACTGTTACACTGACATCTCTCCAAGCTGAGCTGCCTCAGTGCCTTTCATGCCTCAGTTGTCTCTGTTTGCTCCCCGGGTCTCAGGAAACCAGAGGCACCCACTGGTCAGGGCTGTGACAGGGTCAGGGCCACCCCAAACTCCCAACTCCCCATAACACCCAGCTGGCTCAGTCAGAAGTGCTTGGAACCCTCAGCCAGGCGCTGTTCCCCCACATCCCAGCACTCCTGCCTGGCTGCACAGCACTGGCAGCTGTCTCCGCAGGATTACACAGGATTTACTCCCACATTTTGTGTCCTCTGCTGCAGTCACAGCTCCCCTCCACCCCAAGAGCAGAGGTTATGCATTTCACAGAACCATTAAGGAAATCTCCTCTGAGGTCCAGGACTCACTGCCTCTCTGCAGGGGCATTAGCTACATTTCATTAGTTTTTCAACTAGGTCTAAATCCATCTGGCCTGCTCCTGGGAACAGCAAAAGCTGCAAGACAACAGATGTTTTGCTGTCTCAAATTTTAGAGATTTCACAAGTAATCCAGCATTATGTGCTCATTGTCTTAACCATACCAAACCAGTTTATTTCTGGCTGCCAGGAACTGCTCTCTCCTGCTCAATCTGAGCACAGGCACAGCTCAGCTGATTTAGGAACTTTGCCAAGACACCTGAGTATGGTTTGCTACACCCTGAGGGAGAAAAACCCACGATCCACAAAGCAGCCTTGATGTGGAGCACAGCCAGTGCAGCAGCTGAGGGGCGAGCTGCAGTTGTGTCTGGGGTGGGGGAATGGCTGTCACCCACCCTGTGCCTACCACAGGGACACAGACTGTGGTGCTGGAAAAGCCTGGGGATGCCTCTTTTTGGGGGAGTGCAATTCCCAGAGCAGCACCAGCCCATTATCAAGGCAAGAAAGACATCTCCTCCAGGAACATCCTCAAAGGCTTATACATGATATATCTGGGGACAACAAAACTGACCTCCTCTCAAATGATCTCATTTTAAATACTTGATTTTACCACTGTCCTACCCATTCTCCAACTCTCCAGCAAACTGAAGATACAGCAGAAAAACAAGCCTGGAAAAAGAATTTGTACAAATCAAAACCAGTAACAGGATTAAGGGGCT